AGGTACCCGGGGGCGCGACCCCGCCGCGCTGGCCCCAGCGCCTGCCCCGAAGGGCCGCCTCTCCCGGGGCGGCCCGGTGACGAGCAGGGTGCCCCCCCCCGCCGCCGCGCTGCCCGAGCCCTACCGTTGCCAGCCTCCAGGGGGCACCTGGGCCTCTCCCGGAATGGCCTCTCCGCGCCCTGGAGGACACGTGGCTGCTTGGAGGGCGGGGGCTCCGTGGCCTTGTGCCTAGGGTTGCCAGATCTGGGTTGGGAAATACCTGGAGACTTTGGGGGTGGAGCCGGGAGAGGGAGGGGTTTGAGGAGGGGAGGGGCCTCCGCATGGTACAATGCCACGGAGTCCACCCTCCAAAGCAGCCGGTTTCTCCAGGGGAGCTGATCTCTGTCAGCTGGAGAACAGTTGTAAAAGCGGGAGATCTCCAGGCCCCACCTGGGGATTGGCAGCCCTACTTGTGCCCCCCTAGTGAGAGGTCCCTGCCCCACCGGCTCCACCCCCAAATCTCCAGGAACTTCCCAGCCCAGAACTGGCAACATCGCTGGGCCCAAAGAGCTGGACTCTGGCCCCAGCTGGCAGGCGGCGTGGGCCCGGGAAAAGAGGGGTGTGCCTGGCTGAGGGGGGGTGGCCACCAGAACACCTGAACCTGGCCCTGAAGTGGAGAGGGTCTCTGTCCCCCTCTGCCAATCTAGGAAGAAGGTGCCCCCAACCCCCAGATCAAGACCAGGCCCCGGCATTGGGGGGCGGGGTCTGAGCAAGCCCCATATGTGCCCCCCCCAGTTTCGTGCCTTGTTATCCACCACTTCCACACATGAGAAATACTGCACTTTGCAACTGGACTTAACTGTGTGAATCTCCCAGGGGTCATTTCCTGCAGGAGCACACAGGAGGGGGGGTAAAGGGCCCAGGGGGCGGGGGCACATGCAACAAGCCCCGCCCCCTGCTCCCAGCAGCCCTCAGTTGAGCCATGAGGAGCAAGAAGCAGCCAGATACGTTGCAGAGGGGCCCCCCCCGCCTGCCTTCAGGTACAAGCTCTCCCTCCTCTGTGAGGGCAGATCTGCACGTTCCCCCCCCAGCACAG